AGGCCTGGGTGAGCTGGAGAAGGCAAACTGCCTGCTTCCCACTGGAGGGCTCTGTGGCTTGACTGCAACATCCCAGGTAAGCCACTAGAGGTCACCACCATTGATGCCTGTCCTTACTCACAGACGCTGGTATAAGACAGTTCAGGGTTAAGGGAACTCCATACAGAATTCCATCACCATTTGCGCTACAGTGCTGCTTCAGATGCTGTGACAGTCTGAGCTCCTCGGGGGCCTCTTCTAAACCAGTTAACAGCTCAGACCCAAAATCGCTGAGTTGAAAGTTAAGCAAGAACAAATCCTCACTCTCACAAACAGATGCCCCCTGCTGCTCCTCAGGTTCTTCCTGGTCATGATCAGTTGTGTATCCTTCTAGTTTAATCCAGTCCTCAATAAGAAATAAATTAATATGTGTGCCTCGTAGCACCAGAGATTTTAGATGTCAGTCTGCTATTGAAATGATGTAGGTCTGTGGCTTTTAGGAGAGAATGAATGACAGATGGATAATTTATGATGATTCTTGAGACCTGAACTATAATTATGAAGTATTTCTAGGTGTACATTCAGGATGCAAAGTGTAAGGAACCTAGTGCTAATGTTAATTTATTACTGACAGCTGTATATATAATAATATATCATGTCTTTTAATCTTACATTCCTTCTGACTTACATCAAGCAATCTTTTCATTCATTAATAAAATCAAGTCTTGCCATTATTCTTAATGATGAAGTCCCATTTTGAACCCAAAGGATTCCTATAATTAAACTCTATGCTTCCATATACCAGACATTTGAAGCGAAAAAAGAGGATAAATTGCACTTCTTCTTTTACAGACAGGATGGAAACGCCAGAAAGACACAGCCCACCTGCTCACAGCCCCACAATGGCTAAATACAAAGTCAATGAAAAATTTTGTGTGTACCTTCTCCACTCACACCATCACATCCTTTTCCCTTCACATTTAGTCCCCTACCATCTCTGACCCTTCCACGATCTTCCCTTTTTTTATTGGAGTATAGTTGATTTACAGCGTCTTGTTAGTTTTAGGTGTACGGTACAGCTATTCAATTAGATATATATGCATATGTATATTATTTTTTCAGAATCTTTCCCTTATAAGTTATTATAAAATATTCAGTATAGTTCCCTGTGCTATGCAGTTGGTTACCTGTTTTATATATAATAACATGCATATATTAATCCCATCCTCCTAATTTACCAGTCCCCCCGCCTTCCCCTGATCTGGTGACTCAAATGGTAAAGAATCTGCCTGCAGTGCAGGACACCTGGGTTTGATTCCTGGGTTGGGAAGATTCCCCCCAGAGAAGGGAATGGCAATCCACGCCAGTAATCTTGCCTAGAAAATTCCATGGACAGAGGAACCTGGCACAGTCCATGGAGTTGCAAAGAGTCAGACACGATTGAGCGATTTAACACTTTCACTTTTTCACACCCCACCTTTGGGACCCATAAGTTTGTTTTCTATGTCTGTGGGTCTATTAATCTTTCCTTTTTTTGAGGCAGTATATCCAAAGTATTTTTTTAAAGGTCATGATAAAAATGACAACTAAAAGAAACGCAGGCTAACATGTCTCCTGTAACTCTCTGTGCTGCGCCAAAGACTTACATAATCGTCCCTTCAAAAGAAACCTAACTTAATCCTATTACACCAAAGACAAGGTGTCCTTCATGAATATCATGGCCGGAAACAAGTTGGTCTTCTCCACAAGTTTCAACCGGTTCCCAGTCTCATTCAGTTTACAACCAGTCATCACCTTGGCAACTCGCTTGCTGCACTGCTGTGAATGTTCCCCAAATTTAAACTGTGCTCTGGCTTACGTTGTCAAGCACACACAATGCATTATCAGACAAACTAGTCACTTTAAAAGACACAGACCAGTGACAATTGTAGAAGTGAAACCTTTAAGCTGATCAGCTAATTAATGACCCCAAAGTAGAATAATGAGATGTGTGGGGATAGGATTCAGTTATCTGGGTCATCTCTCATCTGCAGACAACATAGGATTCCACTGAGAAGGTACTAGATAACCGGGTAAACAACTTTCCTATCTATAACCCTAAATCTTACTAGGATTGGTTAATTAAATCATGACAAATGATATTCTATGGCAAGCAGAAGGTGCCTAGGAGAGATTTCAGTGAGACGTCCACAAGTTCAGTTGAACTACACCTGAATGTCTTTGTGTTCCTCTACCTAAAAATGTTTACTGCAATTTTCTGGAGAGCTTTTGGGTAGGAAAGCAAAACACTGAATTTTGCTCCACTGAGTTTTTGAAGTTGCCTAGGTTTTTCTATTGGACTCTATGTCTCATATCTTCTCTGCATTCAGGAATTAAGGTCCTAATTCTTTTATTCACATTCCTATCTGCCTGCAATGGTTTCTTCTTACTGATTCTGTTTCTTCCAATTGCTTCAGTGTAGGGAAGAGGAGTGTCAGTCAGCAGTGACCTGTGGTGCTGTAGTAACAAACAGCTCCAAAACCTCAGTGACTTTTTCATTCGACATATACGATGTGGGTCAACTAGAAGCTTAGCTCATCACCACCACTCTAACATGTGGGCTGGCGGGCTTCAATGGCAGTCCCCCCAGTGGTTAAGACACCACATGTCCACTGCAGGGGGCACTGACTCTATCCCTGGTCAGGCAACTAAGATCCTGCATCCTGTGTGGCATGACCAAAAAACATAAAATGTGGGCTGACAGGGTGGCCACCATTTCAAACCATTTCATTATTTGGCTGGTCATAAAGCCAGTAGGGAATGGGCACTCTGGAGGGAACTGCCCCAGCAATAAATGCTCCAGCACAGAAGAGGTGGCCCTCACTTCTGCAACACAATTCATTAGCCAACACTAGTCACAGGCCACACCTCTGAGCCCGGAAGTGTACTTTGTGCTGGAAGGGGGAAATTGGGAAATAGCTTGTGAATATGAGAAAAGACAACCACAGGAACTTTACCCTCTCACTTGCTTTAGAATTCCCTTATTTTCCCTTGATTACAGTTTCTCCCCTTTTATTCATACTCTGATAAAATAACTCTGATTTCTGTTCTGTCCAATTTTAGATTCATGGACATCACAGTTAAGACAGTACTGAAGAAAAGCCTCTATTCCAATAGTTACAAACAAGGGTTCCTTGTGTCAGAGCTCTAGAAGGAAAATAAAAAGAAATTTGCCCGTTAATTGTTTGTTCTCACTTTCTTCCTTTTATGCATTCTGGTTTCCCTCAATTATTTTTCTTTTCACACCCTTCCATGCTAGTCTCCTGCTCAATCTGTTTTATTGAAAAAAATTACTCACCCCTTTATCTTTCCATCTTCTTAGCTATTTAGTCCAACTAGCAAAGAATTCTGTGGAATAGAAGAATTCTAACTTTGCTGGTTTCCCAACCTCCCCCCCACCACCTCAATTCAGGTGAATTTGTATCCCCAGATACCTCATCTCAGAATCACTGATCTCTCTAAACAATGACTAGCTTTTTCTGGACTTTTCTCCCACTTGATAATTGAGGGCCCAGCTTGTTGCAAATGTCTCTGTATACACCTGGAAGTCCCCAAGCGATACAGACATAACTCATTTTATTGCACTTGATTTATTTTTTCCTTTCAATGAGCTTTGCAGATACTGCATCTTTTGCTAATTGAAAGTTTATGGCAACCCTGCATCAAGTCAGTCTATCAGTGCCATTTGTTCAACAGCGTTTGCTCCGTCTGCAATGAAGGAGATGTGAGTTCCATCCGTTAGTCAGAAAGACTCTCCCTCTCCTGCCAGAAGGAACAAGCAACCCACTCCAGCATTCTTGCCTAGGAAATACTGTGGACAGAGGAACCTGGGGCAGGGCGGGGGTGGGGGTGTCACAAAAGAATCAGACACAACTTAGCGACTAAACAACAACAACAAATAATGTTTTTTAGGTACAGTGCTATTGCACACTTAACAGACCACAGTATAGTATGAATATAACTTCTACATACTCTGGGAAACCAATTCATGTCAAATTCATGTGACTCACTTTACTGCAATGGTCAAATCCACAGTGTCTTCCAGGTACACCTGTATCTCAATGAAAAAGTCCATTACTATGACTGGAATCTTCAGTTTCACTCCCTTCCTACTATTCATGGCCCTCTTTCTCAGTCTGGATCCAAGCAGCCTGCTGTTCAGTTGCTAAGACACTAAACCTGTCCAGCATTCCTGAAGTTGGGTGGAAAGCTTCACTCACACTGCATTTTACCCTGTTAGCCAGGGACAAAACAGGACTGCTTATAAAGCTGGTGGATATGACATAAAACAGATTCAAATAACCAACACCATGTTGTCCACAGAGGACTGCAGCTGTGCTACTGGGTCAAGCAAGCTACCAAGTCTGGTCCTACAACCCTGGGGATTTTCCTGAAAATCTTCAATCTCACCAGCAAATAGATTTCCCAGGGCCAGCTCTGCTCCTCACAGGCACACCTCAAGTCCAGCCATGAACCTAGGTATGACCTCTACATTTTAGCCAAGAACACCACAAAAAAGTATAGCCCAGCCAAAAGCACTAACAAACTCACAAGTATAGGGTTGAAAAGAATGTCAAGGCCCACTGCTGAAAGCCAGTGAGGGAGAGGATGGGCTGAAGCCCATCAGATGGGTTTGGGCGACGTGTGGAGACTCCAAAGTGAAGACTCACTGACTTCAAGAACCAAACACCGCTGACAAGGCCTCGCCATGGGACCTTAGGAGCCCGACAACTCGTGCCTTACACCCACCCAAAAGCCGGGGATGGCAGTGAGTGGGAGTGGCATCGCCTTCGCGCCCGCCCAGCCCCAGGACCCGGGATGCCCATGGGCGGGGCCTGAACATCGCCCCGCCCTCGTCGCCCGCCACTCGGGTCACCTGACCTGCCCGCAGCTCACGTGATCTGTCCCCAGCGCCGCCATTTTGGAGCTCCTGATGAGGATGGGGAAAGCGGGGTAAAAGAGGGAAAAGAACCGTGATAGAGGTGGGCGAGGACGAGGGCGAGGGCACGGCCGGCTTCTGGCCGGCAAAGGAGGCTCGCGGAAGCAGCAGCTGCCGCCCGACCGCAGGTACCGCGTCCCGGGGCCGTCCCTCCGCCCGCTGTTAGCGCCGCCGCCGGCCATGTGCGTCCTCCCCTCAGGCCTGTACCGGCGCCGGCTTCCTGCTCAGCCGGTCGACACTCTCCCGGTAGTCGCCACATGCCCCAAGTTCCGTGTCCCTTTTCAATCCTTTGTCCCGTCCACAGCAAGAACGGGGAGACCCCGGGCTTGCCCTGCAGTTGCGGGTGGGGGGGAACCCGCCGCTCCTGGCTTGACTCTCACCAGCCTGGCCCGCAGGCAGGCCCTCCGGCCGTCGCGTCCCTCCCTTTGCGCTGGTGAAACCGCTTCTCCTAGACGGGATGGAGCGAAAACGGTGTCCTCCCCGCGTCTCTTGATTACTTTTTTCAAACCTTATCTCCCCTGCCCTTCAGCCACTGCTTGGTGTAGGAAGAGCTAGTAGAAAAGCAATTCTGGTCTCTGCACCTATTTCGAACCACTTCGATGAAGTAAGTGGTCTCCCTAATGATCAGTCACTGAAATCACTGGGAAAAGCTCCCCACCGTTAAGACCTGGGGGCATCCGGAGTGAACGGTTTGTGTATGGAAGGCCAGGATGATTAATTAGGCCGAGGCCACCATCCCAACCCGCAGGCGATCTTTTTAGTTACCGCAGTGGGCTGTAATTTGCTTTCGGTCTGCATCTCTCTTATCCGGCAATTACTGGATTTATCACATCTTTCAGTCTGTACTTTCTTCTCTGCTGTGACTCAGTGTATGGGTTGCATCATTGATTAAAAGAGAAAGTCTGGCCCTGCGTTCTTTACCCCACTAACTCGTTTAAAATTAATTTCAGGGGAGAGCCAAATATGTGCTTTCTGCCCTGGCAATGAACTGTTTACTTAACCATAGTCGATAAAGTTGCATTATAGGTGAAATGAACACCATTCTTTGATCTTTTAATTTCATTCTCGCTAGTATAAAAAATAGCAAAGAAATGTAGGACTGGAGCAGGAAAGTGCCTTAGATGATATACGTAGGTCAGTTGACTGTGACCAGTTCATGCTGCCTTTCAGTTGTAGAACTGTTGGAAGTTTGCAGAGTCAACCATTTAGACTGTGTTTGTGATTAAGATTAAAATGGCGGTGTACAGCTTATTGCTTTTTATTCATTAGAAAGTTATATCAGTAAAGCCAATAGTATTTTGAGTCAATTAGATAAATTTTGAGCTAAAACATGAAATATACGATTACTGGAGAAATTTCCAGAGCTGTTTTTTTCCAACTTGTGCCAAATCCTGAAGTCTGCTTGTTAGGTAAATTATGTAAATTTGCATCACGTAATTGGGTTCAGTGAACATTCCTCTGAATTTCTTTCGACAGGAATTATTGGGTAATTTTTCACTGTCCTTCCCCCGCCCCCTCCCCCCCCCCAAAAAAATTACTACTTGGTTTCACCAAGGAAGAGAAATGTTTGATACTATATACTTTCATTCTTGGCTACAGCTGGATTTTGAAGATTGATCCAAGGGACTATATTAATTTCAGGAATTGATTTGAAAGACACTGGCTCTGCCACTTAACAGCCATGTAACCTTGGGTAAGTCACTTAAACTGCACTGAGTGTTCCCTTATTTGTACAGTTACGTACAAATAATATGTTACAATTGTGTAACATCCAGGTAGCCTGTCCCAAAGACTTAATGAAGCTCAAACATGCGTTTGATACTGCCTAGCTGTAAGGGGCTATTGCTGTATTCAGTATTTATACTTTATACATTTTTTGTTCACGCGGAGAATTAAGAGGAAAATTGATGTGTTGAGAGGCCTGGCATGCTGCAGTCCATGGGTCACAAAGAGTCGGACACGACTGAGCACTGAACTGAGAAAGGATGGATTTAGAATAAGATAGACCTGTATTCTAATTCTTAAACTAGCTATTACTTTACATCTGTGAGCTTCAGTTTCCTCATCTGCAAATAAAGAGGCCAGTATTACCAGGTTCATTAGCAATACAGGAATCTGTACTGACATTGTTCTCTGGTCTGTGAGCACCTCAAGGGCACAGGTTCCCTCTGACTTATTTTGGTAGTCTCCAGCACATTGCTTGGCACGTTAAAGGTGCTCAGAGAATGTTAAATCTCTGGTTAACGTTAGTTTCACCTTATGTCGTAATTGCAGCTGCCAACTTCAAATATTCTCTCAGGCTAGATGCCAGCTAAGAAATATTAGACATACTGTAATATTTACACTCATTTTTTTCTTGGTGGACAGTTAATTAAGCTAAGGAGATTTTAACTCAAGTATGTTATAGCTGGCATTAGTAAGTTAAATCTACAAATAACATGTAAGCATTTTCAAAGTAACTTTCAGTTTATATCCCAGAAACATGAAAATTTGTCCAGCACAACTCTGGAGTTTTATAGCTACGGAATGTAAAACGCTCAGAAACAATGACTTGCCTAAGGTCACACAACTGAGGTTCCTCTAGCAGAGGAACCCATGAGCTATGCCCCCTGCCACCTTTTAGCTAGAGCAAAATAAATATTTTTCTCTTTCAGGATTACAATGATGTGGAAGAATGAGAAATTGACCATTACTTCTGTAACACAATTTTTTTTTCTAATTGGAAGAACAATCTTAGTCTGAAAGAAAAGATGCTTTATATAACATACTGAACCGTCTTCTTCCACAGAAAATTACAGCTTTTATGCAGTCCCACCCAGGCCCGCATGAATTGTTTAACTTGGTTTTACTTATGATAACCATATTGCTATAAGTGAAAGGAACTAATTAAATGTACAAATAAGCCAAATAGCAAATTGTAAGGAAATAAAGACAGCTGATATAAGTTGGCACTTTTCTTGGGAAAGACTTTAATTACAAGCTTTTGCCTGTGGGCGTCTATTGTCTAGGAAAGTGGAGAAGGTTGTAGAACATTTCTGGTTTGGGATACAACATTTATTTACTTATAGCAATTTGATACATTTGGTCGAATGTTATGTCTAAAGATTTCAAATGAGAAACGCCCTGTTTTGCTGATGTCTGTAGTCTTTCCTCATTTTAATAAACCTTACTGTTCAGCCATACTGGTCTTTTCTCTAATCTCTAGATAGCATGCTTATTCTTATTCTCTCTTCTGAAAATCTATTGATGTTATGGTTGCTTTCTTGTCACCAGATTCCAAGAAAGCAAATGGCAGGCGCACTCAGATTAGGACAATTCAGGGAGGATGTGTTTTAAAAGATACTTACAAAGCTGTAGGACCTATATAGTCAAGCCCCAGGAATCATTCAGTTACAAGGAGCTAGCAGCATCAGGAGAAAGGAAGGTCCTGTAGAACAGCCTGTCTGGAGAGAATGGCCTTCTGTTGAGGATCACAGCTGGTTCAAGGTCACCTCGGGGGAGGGAACCAAGAAAATGAGTGTTTGCTCCCTTTGCTGCCTCCTCCTGATTTCCTGTTATGGCTCCCGGTTGGTATAACTCAACCAGAGGGCATGGGAGCCTAATGATGTAATTCCTCCTGGAACAGAGAGCAGAGTGGAGAATCAGTCATTGAGCCCACAGGGGCAGATGGATGACATCCAGAAGGCTCTTCTTTCGGAATGCAGTATGCGTCTTACCTCTTCAGGAAGCCTTTGTTTCCCTTCCTGACCAAAATTAGCTTTTCAGTCTCTTGTTAGGATTTGGTCATTGACTGTTGCCTTCTAACTGTTTCACCTTGGGTGATTGTTGTTCAGTCACTAAGTCATGTCCAACTCTTTGCGACCCCATGGGCTGCAGCACGTCAGGCTCCTCTGTCCTCCACTGTCTCCTGGAGTTTACTCAGATTCATGTCCATTGAGTTGGTGATACTGTCTAACCATCTCATCCTCTGCCACCTCCTCTTTTTGCCTTCAGTCTTTCCCAGCATCAGGGTCTTTTCTAATGAATCGGCTCCTTGCTTAAGGTGGCCAAAGTATTGGAGCTTCAGCTGCAGCTGCAGTCCTTCTAATGAATATTCAGGACTGATTTCCTTTAGGATTGACTGGTTGGATCTCCTTGCAGTCCAAGGGATTCTCAAGAATCTTCTCCAACACCACAGTTCAGAAGCATCAATTCTTCGGCACTCAGCTTTCTTTATGCTTCAACTCTCACATCCGTTCATGACCACTGGAAAGACCATAGCTTTGACTATATGGACCTTTATCAGGAAAATGATGTCTCTGCTTTTTAATATACTGTCTAGGTTTGTCATAGCTTTCCTTTCAAGGAGCAGGTGTCTTTTAACTTCATGGCTGTGGTCACTGTCCATAGTGATTTTGGAGCCCAGGAAAATAAAATCAGTCACTGCTTCCACTTTTCCCCTTCTCTTTACTATGAAGTGATGGGACTGGATACCATGATCTTAGTGTTTTGAATATTAAGTTTCAAGCCAGCTTTGTCACTCTCTTCTTTCTGCCTCATAAAGAGGCTCTTTAATTCCTCTTTACTGTCTGTCATTAGAGTGCTATCATCTGCATATCTGAGGTTTTTGGTATTTTTCCCAGTGGACTTAATTCCAGCTTGTGATTCATCCAGCCCAGTATTTTGCATAATGTACTCTGTATAGAAGTTAAATAAGCAGGGTGACAATATACAGTCTTGTATTGCTTTCCCAATTTTAAACAGTTTTTGCATGTGTAATTGTAAATGTTGCTTATTAACCCACATATAGGTTTCTCAGGAGACGGGTAAGGTGGTCTGGTACTCCCATCTCTAAGAGTTTTTCAGTTGGTCGTGATCCATACAGTCAAAGGCTTTACTGTAATCAGTGAGGCAAAAGTAGATGTTTTTCTGAAATTCTCTTGTTTTCTCCAGATTCAAGGAATGTTGGCAGTTTGATCTCCTGTTCCTCTGCCTTTTCTCAACCCAGCTTGTGCATATGGAAGTTCTCGGTACGCCTACTGCTGAAGCCTATCTTGAAGAATGTTTAACATGGCTTTGCTAACATGTGAAGTGAGCACAGTTGTACAGTAGTTTGAGCTTTCTTTGGGATTGGAATGAAAACTGACCTCACCTTGGGTACTGCTGGGTTATTTAAAAGTGGTTAATTCTTTTTAACTTCTAAGTATGAGTCTTTCCCACTCAACTCAGTTTTAAACTGTGTGAGTAAAATTTTTTTCCATTTTTCTTTATACCTAGCTTGATGCCTTGTACATAACTTTTCTTTTTTTTAAGCTTTTTAGTTTTAAAATTCTTTAAAGTTTACACAAGTAGAAAGAATACTATAATGAACTCCAAGGTACTCATCATTCCAGTTAGAAAATTTGCTGTTCTTACTTGATTTGTCACCCCCTCTGAGGTCCCCCTGCTCCTCCACCCTTGGTAATGTTTTTTTTTTAAGTTGCATTTACCTTGATCTCTTGGAGGCCGTGGCTAGTATGCGGATTATCTTAATCCAGGTTGTCAGCATTCTTGAGCCACTAGGATTGTATTTGTACTCCTTATTTTTAATCTCCTTTATTATGCAGATTTTACCTCAGGACATGTGATCTCAAATGCACGTGCACATTGGTGGCCTAAGTGAAATTTCTGTGAAAATTTTAAGAGTTGACCAGTATTCAACGTAACTTCCTCTCTTAGTGTACTTTATTATGAGCTCTTTATCTAACCTTTTTTAACCAAGGCTTTTGTTATAATGAGACTTGTGCTTCGACTTTGCCATGTGGACCCAAGCTGGTTTTTCAGGTGTTTCTTGATGTACTTTATGTTGTGATATCTGTTTTATAGGTGCCATTTCTGTACTTATCCCCAAATGTATGCAGTCTCTAAAATGAGATACTTGCATAAATGTTCACAGAAAATTGGAGCATCTGCTGCAAATTTCCATTAGCTCTTAATGCCTGAGCAGACACAGCTTTAAAATCTGAATGTGTTGTCAGATTCTTTTGTATTAGTCTTTTTCTTGCGATGAGATGAGCTCCTCCTCTTCTTCATTTCACTTTCTTTTAAGGTACATGCTGAAATATCCTCAGGGAGCAGTTTGCACTGCTCTGTCTCCCTCTTATTATGTCATTAAATAGTAGAAGGATAATACAAGTCACCTTTGTAACCCTGTGGGTGTGTAGAGTCTGTGAGCAAATATTCACTTGTTAACCTCCAGATTATCAATCAGCCTACATAGCTGTCTCATTTCTTGGGAAGGAGACCTTCCATCTGTAGTAGGGCACCAAATCTTATGTAAGAAATTGAATGTTCAAGGAGTCCTAGTAACTATTATTTAAGAAATTTGCATTAATCAATTGAACTGAAAGAAATAAAGCCTTAAGTGAATGACCCTATAGGGAAATCAGTAATCATTTGAAGAGCCAAAGCTTCCCTTGGCCTACAAATGTGGAATTCTCAGGCAGTGTGGGCTTCCCAGGTGGTGCTAGTGGTAAAGAACCCACCTGCCAATGCAAGAGGCAAGAGATTCGGGTTCGAGCCCTGGGTGGGGAAGATCCCCTGGAGGAGGGCATGGCAACCCACTCCAGTATTCCTGCCTAGAGAATCCCATGGACAGAGGAGCCTGGTGGGCTGCAGTCCATGGGATCACAAAAAAGTTGAACATGACTGAGCGACCAACACTTTGACTTTCACTGTGAAGCCACAAAGGATTTTTCTAAAGAAACAAATTGTTCTCCCCACAGGCCCCTTCTTTAGTGACTTAAGATTGACTGTAGAGATTTAAAAACACTTCTGTTCTTCCTGTTTGAGAGAGATATAAAGGAAATAGTCTTTTGAGAGGTAATGCCCTCAGTTTGTTTAGGGGGGACAGTGACCCAAGGGCCACTGGCCTTGGGGAGCTGGCAGAGCTGTCTTTGCTGTAACGGCTGTGGAATGCATTCCCTGCGGGGAGTGCAGCTAGAAGTAGAAGAGAGAAAAACCGCTTGGCGCAAGGTGGTGTGTCAGGATGGAGGGGAGAAGTGGTACTGAAGAAACCGAGAGTAAAATGCTTGCCTTTTTGCACAATATGGATCTGGCTATGGAAAGTTAGGGTGCCACAAAGAGTAGAAAAGAAGAGCGGGAACGCTGTAACTGCTGTCAGCTGATGGGGGAGAAAAGGGCCTGAAACTGATCAGAGGACTAGGGAGGCCCTACAGGAGTTCAGGTACCATCTTGGCAGCAGCCATCTTGGCCCCTAAAAGGTGATTCAGCCACCTGCAGGAAGAGGAACCTTGCTTCACCTCCTGAAATGAATTCAGAGCCTGTACTGAGGTTTAAGAATATGATCTTTGGCCTATAGCTAGTTCTACTAGTAATTTTGCTGGCATTTACTGAATGTTATGAGTAAGATTCCAGAATGTACCTAAAATGTGGAAAAACAAAACTTGATGCTGGAAAAAAGCCTAAACTTAAAAATGTGTTCCAAGTCAACAAGTTAATCTCACTTTAAGCCAAAGGAAATGCTTGAAAGTTCTGCCAGAAAATAAAGTATTCAAGATTTAGGCTAAAAGATAGAGCATTTCATATTAATGCCTTTCTTGGCCATGACACATTACTTGAACCTACAGATAACCCCTTTTAAGGCCTCTGTGCTTTTTTAGACCTAAAACACAACTAGGATATCAATTTTTACCTTCTCTGCTGCCCCTTTCCCTTTCAGAAAAAAAAACATATGTATGTATATGAGTGTGTGTGTATGAGTAATAGTTGACCACTAATATGACCTCTAAAAAAACCACAGCGTAGTTTGTGGTTTATCGTCAGGAGAATAAATAAAAGGAGGAACTGGATCATTGCTTTTATTTAGTTTCATTTGTATAATACTTCTCAAAATTCTCTATGCCCTTTACATAAAGTTACATGCCCGTATTTTCACAATTCTAAAGATATGGGGAGGAAAAAAAAGTTTATGGTTTTAGTAATAAATCAAAATTTCACTTGGTGCAAGAAATTGTCTCCTGAGAATTGCATCAATCATGTGTTGAATTTACAGAATGGTGTTTTATAATCCTTGAGGTGATTCCAGGTTCCCTAAGAATGATGGTAGCCCTTTAATGATGGAATAGCAGTCTTTTTTTTTTTTTTCTTTCTGGCATTGTACAAAAGAGGAATACTGATTAGGTCCAGCTAGATGTTTAGGGGTAAGTCAAGAAAAAAGGAGGTGTAGTTAACTCATTTCCAAAGAAAGAAATGAAGGATTGAAAGACCTTGATCATCAGTCTCAACAGGGGACAACACTCCAAAGAAAAATTCTAAGCAATTTAAGTCTCTACTGAGGATAGCCAGGTATTTCAATATGGAGCTCCAGGTTAGAAAATACTTAGATCAGCTTAAAGAGTAGTTTAGATTTCCTGAATTATATGCCTATAATGATCCTGTAACCTGGTGTTTCTTTCTGTCATATATTCTGTTTTTTTAGATATGGAAGAAAGCAGCAGTGTCACCATGTTGGTGCCAGATATTGGGGAACAGGAAGCTATGTTGACTGCCAAAACTGTCATCAGTTCATCATTGGAAATTGATGAACAAAGAAAAGCTAAAACGGATCCATTAATCCATGTTATCCAGAAGTTAAGCAAGATAGTGGAACATGAAAAGTCACAAAAATGTCTTTTGATTGGCAAAAAACGGTCACGTTCTAGTACTGCAGCGCACTCTCTTGAAAGTCAAGAATCTTGTGAGATTCCAGCTAAAGTAACCCAGTCACCTGCTACTGATATTAGAAGGGCTGAAATGTCTCAAATACATTTTACCCCTAACTCTCCTGCCCAGAGTGATGGGAAGGCTATGTCTTACCAGTGTAGCCTTTGTAAGTTTCTGTCATCGTCTTTTTCTGTGTTAAAAGATCATATCAAGCAGCATGGTCAGCAGAACGAAGTGATATTAATGTGCGCAGAGTGCCATATTACATCAAAAAGCCAAGAGGAACTTGAAGCTCACGTGGTAAATGACCATGAAAATGATGCCAACAGTCACACTCAATCCAAAGGCCAACAGTACGTAAGCCCCACCAACCCCTTGTGTCACCGAACCTCAGAAAGAAACAGTGAAACCATTCCTGACATCCCAGCAAGTGTGGACAGCCCACAGACTCATACTGTGCAAACAGCGTCCATGGCAGAAATAGGTAAGAGGAAATGGTATGCCTATGAACAGTATGGCATGTATCGGTGCTTGTTTTGTAGTTACACTTGTGGCCAGCAGAGAATGTTGAAAACACATGCTTGGAAGCATGCTGGGGAGGTCGACTGCTCCTATCCAATCTTTGAAAATGAGAATGAGCCCCTCGGCCTGCTGGACTCTTCCGTGACTGCTGCACCCAGTGGCGTCCATGCAGTAGTTATCGCGATTGGAGACAGTGAACTGAGTATCCACAACGGGCCGTCAGTGCAGGTGCAGATTTGCAGCTCAGAGCCATTATCAACTTCCTCTCCTTTAGAGCAGAGTGCAGAAGGTGGGGTTCATCTCAGTCAGTCGGTTACCCTTGACCCTAACGAGGAAGAAATGCTCGAGGTGATTTCTGATGCCGAGGAGAACCTGGTTGCTGATAGTCTCCTTTCATCAGCACAGAAAATCATTAGCAGCAGCCCAAATAAAAAAGGTCACGTTAACGTGATAGTGGAGCGTCTGCCAAGTGCTGAAGAAACGCTTTCACAGAAACATTTCCTCATGAATGCCGAGATCGAAGAGGGGAAGAGCCTGAGCCCAACAGAAGCCAAGATTGGGTGCGAAGGAAGAGAGGAAGTCTATCATGCTGATAAATGCACTGTTGATATCGGGGGGCTGATCATAGGCTGGGGCAACTCAGAGAAGAAAGACAGCGACTTAATAAACAAAGGACTGGCTACTGATGAGAATGCCCCACCGGGCCGAAGAAGGACAAATTCTGAGTCTCTTCGACTACACTCACTAGCTGCAGAAGCCCTGGTTACAATGCCCATAAGAGCTGCAGAACTAACACGAACCAACCTTGGGCACTATGGGAACATAAACCTTTTAGACCCGGACACCGGACAAAGGCAAGTAGATGGGACAGTGGCAGCATATTCTAAAATGATGTCCCCACTGAAAAACTCTCCTGAGGGGTTAGCTAGTTTCAACCAAAGCAACTCTACCTTAGTAGCACTCCCAGAGGGTAGGCAGGAGCTGGCAGACGGGCAGGTTAAGACGGGCATCAGCATGTCCCTCCTCACTGTGATTGAAAAGTTACGGGAAAGGACAGACCAAAATGCTTCCGATGATGATATTTTGAAAGAGTTGCAGGATAACGCCCAGTGCCAGCCCAGCAGCGACGCGAGTCTGTCAGGAAGCAGCGTGGTGGAGTACATCGCTGACGCCGAGCGGCCCTACCGCTGCCGGCTGTGCCACTACAGCAGCGGCAACAAGGGCTACATCAAGCAGCACCTGCGCGTCCACCGGCAGAGACAGCCCTACCAGTGCCCCATCTGTGAGCACGTCGCTGACAACAGCAAGGACCTGGAGAGCCACATGATCCACCACTGCAAGACGAGAATATACCAGTGCAAGCAGTGTGAGGACTCCTTCCACTATAAGGTGAGCACGGGCTCACGAAGTCCTCCAGAAAGCTCTAGGGTTTCAGAGCAAAGAGGGAGCTTTCTAGACACAGTCCACCCACCCCATTTTATAGATATGGAAACTGAGGCCCAGAATAGTTTGGTAATGTGCCCAGGGGATCCCTGTTACTTGGTGTTAAAGTTGGGACTGGAATCTGGGTCGTCAGGATGTCTGGCATAGGATTCTTTTTCCCCACGTGCCCCATCTTTAACAGACCCTGTGTTTATTGCTTTAGTGTTTTCATGTGTATATCTTTTTTAAATTGTGTTGATTTTAAAGTGCAAGGAAATCGCAAGGGGGTATACTGTGGAGGGACATCATGCACGCATCTGACTCACATTTAGTCATATGTCATGAATGCATAAAAATACCTATTTTTAATCTTACGTGGCCCCTAAATGCAAGTCATTCACTCCAGCTGCTACACAGCAAGCCAAGGGTGATTTACACCTTTGCACAGGGAGAAATGGGCTGTATGAGCTATAATGAAAGATAGGGCAGTGGGGACGGAGCCATGTGTGTTATATTTCATGGGAAGCTCGCAGGACTTCCAAGGATTACCTTGACTGATTTTCATTTTGTGTGCTACCTAAAACCAGGAACCCGTATGAAACACTGTTTTTGGAAAGGAAATTTGCATTCATTGAATCACTGGTTTAGAACTTTTCTTCACTGTGCCAGTTGACTGTTGGCGGGGGTGGGGGAGGGAGTGTATCCCTAAACGGGTAACTGAGGTGTAGATTTTTGCTCTTAGATTAGCCGGTGTTGGGGTCCAGGTCCACTGAATAAATAGGTAATCAAGAGTTTTTTAAAAAGCCTCTGAGTCAAAGATTTTCGCTGTCACTTGGATTATTCTCATGTAATTCTGAAACGGCCTCTGGCATTGGACAAGCAGTCTATACGGATGATCTGCAGAGGCAAGTTCCAGGAGTTTCTTCTGCTGATACACTTGATTCATGGGGCTAGGGGTGAGGAGGAAGAGGTCCTTGGAGTCACAGTTCGAGTTAAGTCTCTTTTACACATTTAGTTGATATTTAAAGGCAGAAGTGCAGAAGTTAACTGATTGGATTGATTTTCGTGAAGGTATTGAGTTACTCTGAACACTCTGCTTGTTCCTCCTCTGGGCTCAGCAGTGGTTCAGGAAGTGTACACACACTCTGCACAAGCGCTGCTAAGACAGCAGTGGCTTCCTTTTAGAGAACGTGGAAAGAGGAACTAACTGCCTTTTTGACAAGATTGTGTTTTCTCTAGTGTATTTCTTCCTGTAAGTTGTCAAATGTGTCAAGTTATCTTTTAGCACATTTGGTTTTTAAATACTGGTAATGTGTTCTAGGTACTAGGCCATGAAAGCAGTTCACTCCTTTCTGTAGCCTCCTAGTAACTGTACAAGTGTGTTTATTGAAAACTACATATTAATTTCTCTCAATTTTTTAGAGTCAACTGAGGAACCATGAGAGGGAGCAACACAGTCTTCCAGATACCTTGTCAATAGCAACTTCTAATGAGTCCAGAGTTTCCAGTGATAAAACTGATGGAAAATGTGTTCAGGAAGGTATCTCTGCATTTTTTTAATATATATATAGATGAGATTGACTAGCATGCGAAGTGAAAAAATGCCCTTTGTTGTCATGTGGGTTATTTTCAGAACTAAGGCTGTGTCTCTTCTCTGTTTTTATACTATGTGAGTGAATCTTATCTCTTGAGTACTAAGTGAGTATTGTTGGTAAGTACTCAGGTTCAACCATCTAGGTAGATGTGCTCTGAAATTTATGCTGTCCTGTAAGAGCCAGGTTTAGCAGAAGCCCTGAGGTGACACGCCAGCAAGCCAGGGGAGCTGCAGCACGGAAGGAAAGCCTCCCTCTCTCAGTGCCGGCTGACCCACTGAGAATGGAGCTTTTGCAGATGGTAGGCCCCCACCTCAAACTTTAACTGAGGCTTCCTGCTGTGATCTTATTCTTATCCAAGTGTGACTGCCAGATTTCATCTGCATTATTTAAAAAAAAAAAGCACAGGCTCTTTTTATGTACCAGTTAGGTGCCAGTCGGCCGAGTTTCTGCTAATAGGAATATTAGAATCAAAAGATTTAATTAGAGTTCCATGAAAAGGCGGATGCCACATCCGGAGAATTAGGGATAAAGTGTAATAAGCTGTGCTTCCTTGCTTCAGCTCACTTAAATTGATATACTTTAAATGTCTCAATTGTGGTACATAGCGTTTATGGGAAATAAAACATATTGGGGTGACTTTCCTTTTTAGATTTCCTCAGAATTAAAGTTAGAAACAACTGCAGAGTAAAATGTTTTGCCATAATGTTTCATTAAATTATACCCCAGAAAGCATAACTGATTCTAGAATGTTTCTGAAAGAACTGATTTTGACACCACTGTAGCACCAAAATTCCCTTGTCAAACAGATGTCATCCCTGTAAAACTATCCAAAACAAAAGGAGTTTATGACATAGCATCTGTTCCTGCGATAGATGGCTGAGCTAAAACTGTTTTGTTTCCTTTATACAAAATAGCCCTAACTGCCTCCTTTTATTTTAATTCATTATGTTTCCATATCCCCTTTAAAGGAGACATTAAAACATTTGATATCTTTGGACCATAAATCCCTAATGAAGGAATAAAGTAAGTACTACTCACTGGTACCACCTGCGGTTACTCCCAGCGGTGGAATATGTCTTTTCTAGCACCATCTCCAAAAGCAATAATTTAAAACTGTCCAAATGGGTTAACAAATTAAAACACACAATTTGAATTAAAAAGATTGAAATGTCAACTCAAAATTAAAATAACCAGTTTGGGCTTCATAGCATGCTACATCTCTCCACCATATTCCGTTTTCAAGCTTCTTTCTTTTGTGGCTCAAACTCTTGTTTCTTAGGGTGACTATAATAGATTTTAAATTGCCTCTCACGCCTACTCCCCCCATTCAACTCTATTTGCTGGTAGAACAACAGTTCAGATGACTGAGAATTCCTGCTTGCTTAATCTACACTGATACTTTATTGATTCAGTATTAGATATTTTAGAATATGGTGGTTGGGCTGAACAAGTTTTTAGCTCACAAAGAAGGTGAAAATGATTCACATTTTAACCATTTAATAAACTTATTAAACAAGAGGGGAGATGTATACTTCTGTGGCTTCGAGTCTCTGTCACGATAGCCCAGGTAACTTGTAGCTCATTTTTGACTCAGAGGCCCAGTGTAATAGCACCACAGACATTTGCTCTGCCAGAAGGTATGGAGTGCCCATCGTGAGCTGGATACTCTGCAGATGCTTGTAGTGCAGTAGAGCTGTCAGTGCCCTTGAGGGGCCCAGCCCAGAGGCGAACACATAACAGTATAAACGAGTACATTGGCAAACACCGAAGGTGCTCAGAGAGCTGTGGACAGAGCACTTTCATACGGAGTTTCTTAATGAAACTTAATTAATTGTTCTTTATCGTAAACCTACAATTTGCCAAGCCCTGGGGATTTTATGTAAGCAGAACAAGCAGATCCCTGCCCGCAGGGAGGCTCCAGCTAGTGACAGGTCAGACTTGACACCAGCACACAGGTAACACAGACTGGGGTGAGGTACAGCATGCTCCTGGGCTTACAAACCATGCCGGGAAGTTCCAGTATTTCCATTTTGTAGATGAGGAAACCAGGTCCTCAAGAGGGGAAATAATTTGCCCGTGATCACACTCATATGAAGTGGCAGAGCAGGGACTGAGCCCAGGTTTTTGAAATTTAAATCCAGTATTCTTTCCGTTGGAAACAGTTGCTTGAAGTAGCACAGCCTCTCATTCTGTGCTATATTAAGTTTTCCCATCTGTCATTTTTATTAGTTGTCATTGATCTGTAATATTTCTCACACAGAACCATTATACAATATTTCACACTTCTTTTTTTCAGGGTTTTTTTTTTTAAACTCTTATCTGGAGTAGTGCCACTTATAATCAAGTCCAAGTTTTTAACCCACCAATTAAGAGCAGTACTTAGATTATAATTATGATTAGTGTGTATATTAATGTTACAGATTTATACCAGGAAATTAGGACATTTTGTTCTGCCTGGCAAAAGTAATTATTAGCCAAAGAAAATTGCAGTTTTAGAAAGCTTAAATTTAACCTAAGGATTTTCTTTGTTTTGTTAAAATTCCCATATGGGAGTTCTTTTGTATCACCAGTTTTACTTTCCCACAGCGTGTGCTGGCGTTCTACCTAAGCTTTCTTCCTGCTCTGCCTTGTTCTGCGATTTCTGTGCTCGCTCTGTTTCTGAATATAAAGCATTCAGGCTATGAATGGCCTGTGAACTCTGTGCTGACAGAAGAGTAGATAAATTGTTGAATATCTTCAGGAACAAAAAGTTTTCTATGATCAAGTCATTCTGCTTGTGTTGCCTCAAGCTTACCCCGATTTGAATCCTGCCCACGCCCCACACCTCGACCCTTGTTGCAGTGTGAGTTTAGTAACAGGGCCTAATTCCATGGGTCTGTGTTTCCTGGATTTCAGAGAGCTGCATGTTCACCTTAGTCCTTGTAAACTGTCAGCTTACGGGGTATACTTATACTGCATTACATAGCACTTAATAATTTGCCTTTGCTTTTCCCTCTGTTGTAAGTTATAAACAAAGGAAACCTACAGAGTGAAAAAGCTTTGGACTTTGTATATTGAGTTTGTTACAGATGCTTTGTAGCTGTACTTTATAGTACTGGATTATAGTATTAAATTACAACTGGTTAGCAAATCAGTGTTTCCTGACGGCTATATCCTATATGGATGAAATCAAACCTTTCAGATTCACAGTTTATTTCTGGTTAAATCAGTTGCAACTCAGTCAGCAGGGCAGCTGGCATCAGGTTCATTATAGTTTAGAATTTTATACAAGGTTATGTAGAAGCTAACCCAATGTATTTTTACAGGTCAGATGATACTCACTCTATATCCACGGAAAGTGCAGAATGCAGGAGAACCCGTAAAGCTAGATTTGAGCTTGTTGACTTTATTAACCAGTGAGAAAGCCTGCATTGAAATGTGAATACTGTGTGGTATAAATTCTCATTTACAGTGGAATGTAATTATAGTTGTTTTAATCTAATCCAACCACATCACTAAAACTGAAATGCTTTGTCCAGGGAATAAGTCTTCAGTCCAGAAACAGTATAGATGTGATGTGTGTGATTATACAAGTACAACATACGTTGGTGTCAGAAACCACAGACGAATCCATAACTCTGATAAGCCTTACAGGTAAGTGTGATGATCCTGGCGTTTTAATACTTGTATTGCAATACTGTAAAGAAAAAAATGGAAGTAATTAAAAATTTGTAGTTGTTTAAGCATAGGTTAAGCACTAGGAAACTTTCACTTCCTGGTTTCACGAGTTGTGTAGTTTGTTAAAGAACTTGACTATTAAGCTTTAGTCTCAGGATGATAGGCTTGTTTTTGACTAGATTTTGCCTAATAGCAACAAAAGAAGATGCCTATATCTGTCAGTTTCATGTGGGTATAAATTAGCATAATAGTTTTCACTGCTTAGAGTACATTTCAATAATTTGGTAGTTAAGTATTCAGTATTCCAGCAGAAGACTCTTAAAACTTAAAAGCAATAAAATTCCCCATGAAAGATTCTATTTTTGAAAATAAATGTTACCATGTGTAGAGTAAGATCATTTAATTTTGTTACTTGATTTTTTACAAAAGCTCATTCTAATGTGTATTCAGAAAATATAGGTGTTCTCAGTTGATTAAGATAGGTTGATAAATAGAAATAATTACTTCTTAAATAAACTTTGCCTCTGGAGAATAAACTCCTTGTTGTTTATGTATGGTAAAGATGCAGATGTTTTTGCAAAGGTTGTCCAGCTGTCACAGGGCAGTGTGTTCTACTGGTAGCCGTCAGGGAACACCGAGTTTCCAGTCAGAGCTAAGCCAGTCACCGTGACTGATCGTGCTCAGCAGTGCCCTGGGCTTTTCTGTCCCCTTGACAAAGCTTGGTTCCTGTTTTAACTCTCTCCCCAGGTTTTATAGGTGTGACACAGGTCACTGTGGGAAGGTTACTATGTTAATATCTAAATGAGAACCTGGCAGACTGTACCTTAAATTGCCATTGCTTGATCCCATACTGTGGCACTCTCTCTCTCACTCTCTTTATATATATATATATAAATGGTTTTAATATAGAGAGTATATATATGTGGTTTTGGATAATTGTATATGGTTTTAAATAATTAATAAATGCAGTGAGAATCTTCTTCCTGTTACATCAGAGAAGTCTTTGTAGGTTTTCTTCCAAACTTGTTCACATAGTACTCTTTCGCTGGGTTTGACCTGAGTGCCTTAGAAAAAATGTTGTCATGCCAACCCCTCCATGTAATTATTACCTTTCATGTATAACACTTGTTTTCCAACTTTCAAATCCTTTGACTCTTCTTTTAACCTTCTTTAAATATTTCCCCTTTGTCTTCATGAGCTTTGCACTCTACAGAGCATTATGGGTTACCATATTCTTTCCCTAGGACTTTTCTATTAGAAAGCATAGTCTTCTTGATATCTAATTTAATATTAAGTTATCATAGTTTTCCTGGCTTATTTCATATATGCTTCATTTGGTTTTGCTGCCTAGCACACTTATGGTCAGAGTTGAGGCTTGCTTTTTCAGAGCGCATACACTGTGCATTTCTGATAGCATGTTACTTGGAGTGCTGAAGGGTCTGGCTTATGAGGTCATCTCAGAAACCCTGTCCTCACTGCAGAAAGAAGAGAGCTATTTTCCATTCCCATGTTAGAGCAGGCAAAGATGAAAAAGGCCTCATCCTGTCCCAGACCTACCAAATGTAGCAAACTTTGTTCTTTTCAGTGCTTTATTAAGGAACATTCTAAGTAAACCACATACCAGTTATGATAATTATAACATTGATCCCAAAATTAGTAAAAGGTGTATTCAGAATTTTCAGATATTAGATTGTCTCTGGCTTAGCTTAATACTGCGGTACTAGAGTTACTGCTGCTCTCCTTCCTCCCACTTTCATGAATGACTAGCTAGAGGTGGAACAACAAAACACTTTCCTCGTGTCCCCAAGGTTCCTCCTGATTGTGGCTTTGAGCCCATTTTCCCTTAGAAACATAATTACATCAGTACTCGGGTTCCAAAACTACATGGCGAGATGGAGAGTAGGAGGAACAACATGACACAGAGGGACATACATGGGCTTTGGACTGAAGTGCTCAGCGCACTGCCTGACACATAGTAGATGCTCAGTAAATGACTCATGTGCTTGTGTGCTGAGTCACTTCAGTTGTGTCCAACTCTTTGAGCTGTATAGATTGTAACCCGCCAGACTCCTCTGTCCATGGGATTCTCCAGGCAAGGATACTTGAGTGGGTTGCCATGCTCTCCTCCAGGATATCTCCCTGACTCAGGGATCAAACCCGCATCTCTTAGGTCTCCTGCATTGACAGGTAGGTTTTTTACCACTAGCACCACCCAGGAAGCCCAGTGTTGAGCTCTAATGACTGATAGTTATCTGTATACCTTAGTTTTTCTCATCTATAAAATGGTTCTGGTTCTATATATTTATTATTTTTTGAAAATAAACATGTGGTAATATTCTTCCTTAAGTAGAAGAGTCACCCAGATATATTACTATATGTTGATTTTTTAGTGCCAATCCTATTTTAATACCCAGTCTAAAAATACCCAGTATTGCCTTAAATGTTTCAGAAGTATCTTTTTTTAGAGTTATTTTGTTTATATCAGGAGGTCCAAACATTGCATTTGATTGATGTGTTTCTTAAGTCTCTCTCTCTTTTTTAAAATTTTGATATAGACTTTACAACTTAATGCAGCATATATCCTGAAAATTACATAAATCAAAAGCATACAGCTTGATGAATGGTCACAAATTAAACCCATCATTGTAACTCCTCAGACCAGGAGATAAGCCATTGCTAGTTTCTCAGCAGCACCCTCTTCTTGGCCCTTCCTCTCACTACCCCATCCCCCACCAGGTAGCCACCATCTTGACTTCTCACATCATAAATTAGTTTTACCTGTTTTTGAACTTAATATGAATGAAGTCATACAGCACATATTCTTTTCTGTCTAGCTTCTTTCATTCAGCTAGACATTTCATTCATTGTGTGTAATTCAGTGTAGAAGTAATGTGTTCCTTTTCATTACTGTATAGTATTCCATTTTAAGATTATGCCACAATTTATTTTTTATTTACTTTTGATGGATATTTATATTATTGCCAGACTTTCCCCCATTATAAATAATGCCAATATTCTTTTACGTATTTTTTCATGAAATGGGTTATTTTCCATGGGTGTATACCTAGGAGTGGAATATGGGGGTAATAGAACATGCTACATTGAGGTGTGTGTGGTGGATATTGTCAACAGTTACCCAGAATGGTTATACCAATTTACAGTGGTTGTACCAGTTCACTCCCTCATCAATACTTTGTTTTTATCAGTCTTGAATTTTGATCATTCTGGTAGGTACATATGTTGTGGTGGTTCTCATTTGCATTTCCTGATGATTTATGTAGTTGAGCATCTTTTCATGTGTTAACTGTGCATTTCTTTATTGGTGGTCTGCTTTTTTCTGACTGATTTTGCAGCTATTCTTTATGTGTTCTGAATACAAGTTTTTTGTTTGTTGGGTTTTTTTTTTTTTTTTGGTCTATGTGTATTGCACATATCTTCTATACTTAATGCTACTCTCAGTGGTATCTTTTGAAGAAAAGAACTTTCTAGTTTTACTGTAATGAGATGTATTAATCTTTTTCTTTGTGCTTAGGCCTTATATATCTTTATACTCTGAAACTGATGCCAATTTTTCTAAATAGTCATGCATTTAAGATAGATGATGAAAGGAGAGGTAAAAATGTGTGCTTATAAAATAATGAGCCTGATTTTCAGGGATTCACATTAACTGGGTCAAAAATTCTGTGTGCTTATGTATTAATGACCCTGGTTTTCTGATATGACACAAAAAGTAAAAGAGAAATCTCCAAAAAAAAACCAAAACCAGAAAGGTTTTAAGCAACAGAAATGACATTTGGAATGACAGAGTTGCCTCCCATGTGTGATCAGTCATTGTAAAAAGTCTAGTCTTTATATAGCTATATTACAAATGGTAATAATAATGGCTGGAGAAGGAAATGGCAACCCACTCCAGTATTCTTGCCTGGAGAATTCCTTGGGCAGAGGAGCCTGACAGGCTGCCATCCATGGGGTCACAGAGAGTCGGACACGACTGAGTGACTAACACACAATAATAATAGCTAGCATTTTTTTGTAAAAACATTTTTCATGGGCCAGGCAATGTGCTGAGTACTCAGTCTGTGTCAGCCTACTTGATCCTCATGACAGCCAGTACTTAGGAATGTTACTACTATTAATGTTGTATTGATAGATATGGAAAGGACGCTGGGTAGATGAAACGATCTCCCACGATCTCCCCAAGTGGCAGAGCCAGGCCTTGAACCGTTGCTCCTCTCAACTGTGCCACTCTGCCTGTATCTGCTTTGCCAGAGAGAACTCTTCATGAGGCGTGCTGCCAAACCACCCCCAACTTAGTGGTGTAAAACAGCAGCTCTTTTATTCAACTCGGGGATTCTGTAGCTCAGGATTTCAGAAAGGGCATTATAAGGGTGGCCTGTCTCTGTTCCATGAGGTCTGGGACTCAAGAGGGAGGACTTAAAGTCTGGAGATAACTGAGATGACAGGGGTTGCAGGCATCTGAGGGCTCCCTCACCAGTTGGACTGTCGACTGGGGCCTCAGCTGGACCTCTCAGCTGGAACACATACATGATTTCTCCGCATGGACTTTTCCAAGTGTGCTGGTTCCACAAGTGAATGCTTAGGTGAGAAGCAGATGAAAGCAATATTACCTTTTATGACATACCCATGGAAGTCACATGTCATCACTTCCACCAACTTAGACTTCTTTTTTTAAAATTTATTTATTTTTAATTGGAGGATAATTGTTTTACAATATTGTGTTCACTTCTGCCATGCATCAACATGAATCAGCCATAGGTATATATTAATATATATCCCATCACTCTTGAACCTCCCTCCCACCTTCCACCCTATGCATGCTATACTTACTCGCTTCAGTTGTGTCCAACTCTGTGTGACCCTATGGACTGTAGCCCACCAGGCTTCTCTCTCCATGGGATTCTCCAGGCGAGAATACTGGAGTAGGTTGCCATGCCCTCCTCTAGGGCATCTTCCCG